CCCCCACTTCAGTTGCCCACCCTGCTTATGGTTTTAACCATGTATTTGCCACTCTGACCCCCCAAACCCAGTCCATTTGTGTTCCTTAAAAAGGCTTCTCTTTCAACACTGTGCCAGGGAGAGGGAGGGGCTTGGTGATGGACAGAAGGGTCAGCCAATCAGCACCTCTGTCTGGGCAGCTGGCTTCTCCTTAAGCAGAACCAGAACTCAAGGCTTGCTTGTCTCAGCCTCAGGATCACCACCCTTCTCTTCCCCTCCCAGAGGAAAATGAACTAGACAGATTTCCACCTCAGAAGGCCTAAGCCAAGCCTAGCATGGAAGGAAGGGCAGGCAATGGAGACATTTCCTTGGTAGGACGTGCAGGTCCAGAGAGTGTCATTCCTTGGGGGTCTCTGCCCACAAAGTCTCATTCTCTTTCAAGCTCCCATTAAGACCTTCATTAAGGGAAGGGGAGATGCCTCTGCCCTGGAGGAGACTCCCACCCTCCATTTCCTTTCCTCCCAGCAGCCCCCTCCCTGCAATTCTGGCCCTTGGAGGAAACGTTATTGGGGGGGAGGAGGTGTGACTCTGTTCCTCTCCTGCCTTCCACTCACCTCCGCTCTGGTTGTAGCGATTCTTAGCAATTTCCAGGTTTCCCCTGAACACCAGCTCAGTGCCCTGAAGTGTCTGAGTGTTCCTGTTCCAGTACTGAGGATCCTCCTTTTCCACCTTCCTTATCCAGGGGACGCGAGGAAGCGCCTCTTTGGTGTCACTGTCATACTGAACAAATTGCTCGTCATCCACATACCCCACATCAATGAACTGGGGCAGCCCCTGGCCAGGCTCAGACACAGCTGTGACAAAGTAGCGCAGGGAGTGAGAAGTGGAGCCTGGAAAGTAAGAGAGAGGGGCAGAGAGTTAGGGGTCCTGCAGATGAAGGCAGCAGCCCTAAATCAGGAGATCCAAAGTTCAGCAGGGTTTGGGGGAGTTTGTAGACCTGCCCTTAAACACAGAGGAGGCAGAGCAGAGGGAGCCTAAGAATCCGAGAATTGAAAAGGGGAGAGGATATAAATATAAGTAACAACAACAATATCCCATGGAGCAGAGGGCGAGAAAAAGCTCTGCCAGGCAGCACTAAATCTCTGCATGTCTCTGCTGAGGCTCCATGTGAGGGAGAGAGAGGCCAGCCCCTCCCCTTTTGCCAAGGGGGCAGGAATTGCCCCCCACTTGCAAGCGCCAAGCTGATGAGAGCTCCCACAACATGGTCTGAAGGCTCAGGATGCAGGCACCAAACGGAAGCTAAGCAGGCTCAGGTCTGGGAAGTGGATGGAGGGGAGACCAGACGAAGCAAAATCCATATATTGGGAGAAGAGGAAGCTGCCTCCTCCTGGGTCCAGGTAGCTCAGAGTTGTCTGCCCTGACTGGGATGGCTCATATATGCAGAAACGGGCCTAGAAAAGCCACTCCCTTGGAGCCGCCCCACCATCTGACCTTCTGGAGCCATGCACTGAACAGCTCTGGCCTGGGTCTTGCTTCCTGGGCTCTGGGAGGCTTTGGAAAGATCTTATGAGAACTCAGGAGAGCCCCACAAGATCTCGTGAAAACCTTGCACAAAAAGAGCTCTCTGCCTGCTGCATATATAATTGGTGTGATTTCAGCAGAGATGGAGATGGAGATGCAGGAAGAGGACATCGCAATGACAATACAAAATGCTTTTAGAATTAAGATGAGAACAACGAAAGCTAAGAAATTCCCAGGAGACTGCTTGGTTATATTTAAAGATCGAGAAATGAGAAATTAAATTTTACAAAAGAATAGGGAGAAAAGACTGAATATTGATGGATGTAATATAATTATTTTTAAAGACGTCCCACTTCGGCTGTTTAAAAAACGGAACCAATATCAACAGCTGGTGCAAGCTCTGAGGAAATACAAAACTGAGTTCAGATGGGAATTCCCAGAAGGAGTCTCATTTGCATATAAAGGAAAGAAACACAGGATAACAAGATTGGATGAGATGGATAAATTTTTAAGAAGATATAAAGAGCTGGGAAGAGAAGAAGATGGAGCAGCACTGGCAGAGGCAGGAGCTGGAGGAGGAGCGCCACAAGAATCAGAGGAGGAGGGAGAGGAGGGGGAAGAAAGGGAGGAGAAATAAAATTTTAAGATATTTATTTAAATTAATAAGAATTCAATATGGCATTGAAACTATGGTCTTGGAATGTTAAAGGTATGAATGAGAAAAATTCTGGGAAATGATTTATAATGAATTGAAGAAAATGTTGAAATATACATTTACTAAGAAACCTGAAGCATTTTTACTAGGCATTACAGGGAATGAGATAAATAAGAAAGAGAAGAAGTTGTTTTTATACGCAGTGACAGCAGCAAGAATATTGATGGCTCAGAAATGGAAGCAAGAGGAGCTGCCTACAATAGAAGAATGGAGAACTAAAATGATGGACTATGCGGAATTGGACAGAATGACAGGAAGGATCCGGAATCGACGAGATCAAAGATTTACAGAAGATTGGGAGAAGTTTATTCAATATTTGCAAAAACTAAGTGATAACCAGATTACGTTTGTAAGTTTTAAAGAAGCTCTGTGATGTGAAAATGTAACAATAAGTAAAAATTGTTGTGACATGGGGTTTGTGATTTCAGCTCTCTTGACATAATATGCTGGAGACAGTTCTCTAGTAACACTTCTTTATTAAAGCAACAAGACTCAAGCCTGAGGAGGGGAAAGCTACATTTATAGGGACAGGGAACTAGCAAGAAAGGATACATTTTGGAGGGAACAATATCAGGCAATCACAGTCCTGCCTTTTGGAGGGAACCAATAAGACAGAGGATCCAAATACAGCAGCTTAAATGAACCAATAGTAGCTGTACCCTCTGGAACCAAAAGGCAGTTACTTTACCCTAATGCAAATACAGACAATAATAATACAGATATAAAATCCTTTGACTCAATACACAACAAAAATAATGAATTAAATCTAATAGTTTTAATAACAAGGGGTAGAAATGTGTTAAAAGTGATAAAATGAAGGAAGCTCAGACAAATTGAGGGAAGTCAAAAATGGAATTAAGATGTAATTAAGAAGTTGAAATGTACAATTTTGTTTTTTGTATTTGCAAACCAATAAAAATATATTTTTTTAAAAAAAGATTATCTCAGGGTCGAGGTATGTTCATACGGAAATAGGTGGTCCTTGAGGACCAATCATACCCCTGGGAAAATTGTGTTGAATGCACTTTGGACAACTTCACCCTCAAGGAGGAAGCAGTCCACTCGAGTTTGGCCAGTGACTCATCTCAAAAAAACTAGGAAATTAAAATAAAATTCATAGACGGGACCCTGAAGGTCCCACCCCCTGCGATGCTGGCATCTCAACTGCAGCATCCATGGCAGATGGCCATACAACCTGTGCTAAAATACTTCCAAGGAAGGAGAATCTACCACCTGCTGAGGGAGTTCCACGGTGGAAAACAGAGTGCAAGGAATCATAAAGCTACAAGATGAATCGTAAACCTACAAGATGCTTGAATTACGTCCACCTTGATGGTGTGTGGACTCTGCTACCTCCCTCCAGCTCCTCGGTTTCCTTTCAGGCAAGATCAAATGGGATCCACTTCCAAGGCCAGCCCTCCCAGGGCAGGGGCTCCCCCCAGTTCAAACCACAAGAGCTCAGAGCAAGGCTGCCTCTGGTTGTGGCATCTGGCTAAACACCACAGGCAGTTCTGCTCAGTGGTCAGGAGACAAAGAGCCACAAAATGAGTCACACGTGAGACCCCAAAATGAGGAGTAATCTGAAGGAACCAGTGGTCTCCACCACCCTTTGCCCTCCCAAAGCCCCCTATATGGAGAGAGTTTAACAAAGAAATAACAGGTCTTACTCTTCTTTCTCCCTACCCATGAAGAATATGATTGTCTCACAAGAGTGTCTGCTTAAAACATTTTTCTTTGGGCAACCCTATCCAGATACATAAATGTTGATGTGTTTTGGCCTATCATTCCTAATTTCAATTATTTTTTAAAGCTTTCAACTGTTTTTATTATTTTACTGTTTCCTGTAAATCAATTAGAGTGTTTACCACAATCGAGCAGGATATATATATTTTTTTAGTTAAACAAAACGTGAGTGGCAACCCCAAAAGGAGAAAAACACCAAAGGCAGCAATCAGGAATGTGGAATTAAGAATTAAATAGTGATAAATCCTTGTGCAGAGCCAATGGACTGGTGGGGTGGGGGAGCAGGAATATTCTGAGCAAGGGAAATTCATGTCTAGGAGCTCAAGGCAGAGGCTCCAACTTTATTGACTTGTTTTTTTTTTGGGGGGGGGGGAGAATATAAAGGAGGGGATATTCAAGGGGAACCGGGCTGCAGGGTGGGGCCCCCCACTTCTTTTTCAGGAGTTGTTTGTGCCCTTCGTCCTAAACAACTTGACGTGTACAAAACGTAGTGAAAGGGGCTGTACAGAAACGGCACAGAGAAGCCCCCTGCATAATTTACAAAACCTACATTTTTGACAGGCAACAGGAAAGCGGGGTTTTTTTTGGGGGGGGAGTTAAAATTGTAAAGCAGGAGAACATGATGATGGATTTGCAGGTGGAAGGGAATTATTGATTAACACAACATGGGGAATTGCGGGTGGGGACCCCTTATTCAGACGTTTTCCCCCCGCAATGAAGTCAGCTCTACACGCGTCCAGCTCCCACCCCCAGGCTGGTCTCCAGGGTGTTGAGCTGAGTTTTTAAGAGCGGCTGAGGGTTAGATTAGAAGAGGGAAGGTAAAAAATAGAAGTAGAAAGACCGAGGGGCGGGACAGGCGACTCACTTTCCCCCCCATGAATCCTGCCAACCCCTTCAAGCTTTGTTTTGTTCTTTGCTTGAGCCCCGAGCCCAGGAGTGAAGCGGCCCCTGCCCCGGACGGCATACAAAACAAGCCAAGTCTGGGAAACAGATGTTTGGGAAGGGATTATTTTCTCCCCCCGCCCCAGAGTACAGTCCTTACCTGCGCAGTCCAGGAGCAGCAGCAGGTGGGCAGCCGCCCCCAGGATCAGGGGGGGCCAGCGGAGGAGGAGGACCCCCATCTTCCCCCAAAACGAAGCTCCTTTTTCCTCTTCTTACTCCAGCGACGTCCTTCTCCCTCCGACTCCGAGACCCGCTCTCCGCCCCGCCCGCGGAACCAGCAGCAGAGCGAGCCGGGATTGGGCATGGGGAAAATATTCCGCCAATCGGAAATCTGCGCGCAGATGGCGGCATCGGTCGCCGGGCAGAACTCGAGGCGCAAGTTTGGGAGCGAGGCTGAAGAGAGAAAGAGAAAGTGATTGCAGCTCCTCGCTGGGAATCGCCGCCTCCCTCCCCCCCCCCGGCAGCTCTTCCTCCAGTGTCAGAGGCAGTAAATGCATTAGCATCCCACTCGCATCCCGTCCTCCTTGCATGCTTCCTTCTGGGTGGCCACAGCCCAGCTTTTCTCCTGTGTCCTAGTGGCAGGGGGTTCCAGCGGTTAACTGTGTGCCTTTTAAAGAAATGCTCAGTGTTGCAACTAGAGCTGAACCTCAGGGTTGAAGTCAAAACAGAGAGAGAGAGAGAGAGCACACGTATGACCACACAGAGAAGGGAAGCAGATGCTGGGACGCCGACAAACATTTGGTTTTAGCACAGAGTCAGGCCAGAGCCCACCACCTTGCCACAATTTCCTTTCTCCATGTGCTTTTTAAAGGGGCATTTTATTTCTCCACCTATCTCTGCTTCCTTCTCTCGTCATACTGGCCCCAACATGAGTTTCTCTCCCCCTGCCTGGGACCCTCTTAAGTCTGCAGGCCCAGGGTGTTGGGGGTCAGGGAGGCCCCCTTTGCCCAGCCAGCAAGACCCAGCGGCTGCCAAGCCTCTTCTGGAAGGCCCTGAGCCCAGGCTGGGCGCTTGGTCCAGAGAGTGCTTGGCCCACATCCCACTGCCAGAAGCCTGAACATTGAAACCTGAGCTAAGCATGGGACACACGCAGAAGCCGCTGCCTTTTCCAAGAAGTCAGGAAAGAGACAAGCAGTGGCCGCTCCTTGCCCAGGTACAGGGAAGCTTGTTGCCAGTTGAGTCCCTGTGAAGAAGGAGGCTGGCTGTTTTGAGGGGGGCTCTCCTGGACCCACTTTTGGGACTCAATGGGCTCAGTCACCTCAGGGACGTCTTAAGCTTCACTTTTCACCTGCTCCATCCAGTTTTTCCTGGACAGGGATAGTCTGCCCACAACGATCCATATTCTGGTCACCTTCTGACAGGATTATTGTAATATATGTTGTTTTTCCCAATATAGTAGGGATGCTTCAGCTGCTACAAGATAAACCTGACAGGATTTTCACTGTCACAGCTCATTTAGGGCCAGGTCCTCAGTGGCTTGAAGCTTCTTCTCCTCCCCACATTTCCTCTGTGGAGGCTTTTCTCCCTCTCCTTTCCCCTCTTCATGGAGGTGCAGAGGGCGACAACAACTAACAACTAGGAGGAAAATGTTTTCTTCTTCACAGACTTTAAAGAATTTTTCAGGACTTTAGACATTGCCTGTAGCTCTGTTTTCCTGCTGGACAGCCTTGTTATGTGGTTTTAAACCACCCTTGAACGAATTTAGGGAGATGCTGGCATGAAAATGAACAAATAATGAAAGCAGCTGCTTGAGGCAGCCCTTCGGGAAGGAGGCAGCCATTTTGTCTCCGTTTCTGCTTCACTGCCAGCCCTCCACAAAATGGCTTCCGTCCCCTGCCTCAGCCTCCCCGCTTCCCTCCCTGCAGAGGAGACCTTTGGTGCAAGGGAGAGCAGCCAAACAAGGCAGAAACCGAAAGCCACAGCAGCCCACAGATCAGGTTGCCTGACTGGGAGATCGGCAGGCAGAAATGTTGCTCAGGGGAAGACATTTTCTTTCTTAGCACCCAGATGGCTTTGGCATTTGCCCTCTTGGCCTGGCCTGGGCCCTCTTCAGCCTTGGAAAGACCCGTCTCCCTCAGCATGCAGGACAAAACCCTGAGCCTCCACAGCTCTCTTCCTCAAGGCCAAGTGGCCAGGACTCCTGGGTCCCCTTTGGGAGGAGACTCGGCAGGAGCCAGGACTCCTGGGTCCCCTTTGGGAGGAGACTCGGCAGGAGCCAGGACTCCTGGGTCCCCTCTGGGAGGAGACTCGGCAGGAGCCAGGACTCCTGGGTCCCCTTTGGGAGGAGACTCGGCAGGAGCCAGGACTCCTGGGTCCCCTTTGGGAGGAGACTCGGCAGGAGCCAGGACTCCTGGGTCCCCTTTGGGAGGAGACTCGGCAGGAGCCAGGACTCCTGGGTCCCTTTTGGGAGGAGACTCGGCAGGAGCCAGGACTCCTGGGTCCCGTTTCTGGCAGGCAAAAGCCATCTTCCTCTCTAACTGACTCTGCCTTCAAAAATTGAATATTTACATCCAGGTGGCATTCGTGTTCTCCTCATAATGGCCCTGACAGACCCAAGGTCCCTGAGGGAGCTTCATGGCTACGTGGGGATTTGAACCCAGGACTCCCAGGCTCCCATATCCCAGCCAAACCACAGCCCCACACTGGATCCTAGTAGGCTTCTCCACCTCTCAAGACCAGGCCTGCAGGGACATCTCTCCTGACATTGTTTTTGTCCCGTTCTTGGTATCGTGTGGAAACAGCAACGAGTCTTCTTGCCCCTTAAAGGCTAAGAAATAGATTATGGCATAAAAACGTCCTTGGTGTGGTTCTCTGATCCAAACTGGATTGTTTCCCAGGGGACTTTGCCCCCTTCTGCCTCCCTCAGCAACCTCTGAGTCAGGCTGGAAAGTCCCAGGGCAGTTCCCAGAACAAGGCCTTTTTATTTTAAATGTTTGCTTTCATTTTTACTTGTAAGATGAATAGCTGAGGGTGCAGTAAACAGTCCTTGGCGAGTTACAATAATCTAAATTCCGTTTCCATCCTTCATTAACACTGGTGTTTGTGTGTGTTTGTCTCCTGCCCTGACGCTCTCTCTCTCTGCCACAAGACACCCTCACCCATTTCTCCACAGTCCCTGGTTGTCTTTTCTCGCTTTCCCCTTTTTGCGATCCTCCGCTGCCCCCTGCCGGCTGCTTTCTTCCCCGGCTGAAGTGGAAATCAGGTGATTTCCAGGAAATCCTTCAAGGGACCAGTTGAAGCAAGTCACGGGTTGCAAAAAAATGGTCAAGGTTCCCACATATGTCACAGCTTTGGAATCGGTGCAAGTGGGTGTATGCCTACCTATGGTGTGGGAAAGCGGAAATACATAAAACTTTTACAAATCACGTAATTAGAAAAAAACCTGTTTTAGAGTATGGGGATAATATAAAAACTTATTAGAAAGAAAAACACCACTGTGGATATCCCCAGTGGAAGCTACAACCAGGAAAAGAATAAATATGGATAAGCAGTGGTTAACTTACAGTGAAATTTAATCTCTTACAGGACAGGAACCAAAACTGAGAAATCCCGAGGAATCAAGAAATCTGGTTACGGATTGGCTACAGGTTGTTAGGGAAATTCTGGGAGAGAGGATACTCGACAGTCCCAGCTGGTCGGGCAAAGCCCGTGGTTTCTCTTGGTCAGCAAAGGAAGGGGTCCCAGCCACAAACCGGAGCAAAACACCGTCAGTAGACTTAGATCAAAGTTTATTGCGAAACAGGTTCAAACAATGGAATGAACCCTGAGAAAGGGACGACATTTACTTTTAAAACTTCCCACCACATCCCAGAATCCAGTTCGTACAGCATCATCACTACATCATTGTGACATCACCAAAACATCAAGAAAAAGGGAGGGTAACATGGGATTAACATAAGGAAACTGAGTCAAGGTTTGCATAAGCAAACATATCTCAAGTACCCACCACCCACAGAACAATAGTCTTTCTTCGCATGTCTGTACCCTAAGGCGAGTCCGGTTTTTGGACTCTAACTGCCCAGCAATTGTCACTCATGGGCACTTCCTTGGGTGGGGAGTGCCCACTGTTCAGGGAAGTTTTTAATGTGTGACGTCTTAGTGTATTTTTAGTCTTTGTTGGAAGCCGCCCAGAGTGGCTGGGGAAACGCAACCAGATGGGCAGGGTACAAATAAAATAAATTATTATTATTATTATTAGTGACTCCTCCCTTGAGGGATCACGGCGGGACTCAGGGGTTTTAAAGTCCTAGGCCAAAAGAGTGCAAATGGCGTTGCAGTGAAGCAAACCGGTGGCACTAGTGATTTTATATGAATTTCTAAAGTTTTGAGGCTTTTCCTAAAGCTGATAGTCTGGCGGAAACACTTTTGTTTTTGCTTGCAGCATTGTAGCAAGTTTAGAGACAGTTAACAAGGTAAGGAGGTTTCGATAGACTGAGTCCATTGTTCTGGCAGCCGGGCTCCACTCAGCTGCTTAGTGAGGGTGCAAACAGCTGGAGCAGAGCTGCCTTGCAAGGCAACGGGCAAAGGACGAAACTTGAGAGCGTAGCTTAAACTCAATTGGCTAGCTGTCAAATTCCAACACTCCTGATTGGTTAAGGCGCATCAGCATGCAAATACACAGTTCAGTCATCCGGTATACCAACAGTAGGCTCTAGACTAGAGTAACAGGAAGGAAAGACAAGACTTTACTGAGGGAGTTTATGTGCTGTTTGGTGCAACTTAGTGAAGGGACGAGGTCTTCTTGAGCTTATCCTCTCATGCCCTGAGTACGTGTGGCGGGGGAGACAGAAGTGGGATCTTGCTTATGTGCTCCATTGTGCAACAAGGTACATCAGATTGATGAATTGTTTAAGATAGATAGGGAAAACGGCTTTGCTGAGCAAAAGTCTCAGTTTACCAAAGACTTATTAGATACAAATATAAAAGTATTATAAAAAAATGTACAAACTGCTCTTGGAGTGGGTAATTAAGAGGAATTAGTGAAATCGAGCATGATTAAGTGGGCACAAGATGTGGATCACAATATTGATCATGAATTATGGGGAAAGTTGTGGAAAAGTAAATATGAATTTTACGGCATGTTATGCAAGATAAAAGAAAATATGATGAAAATGGCCCACAGATGGCATTTAACACCCACCAGATTGGCGAGAATATCTAAAAGAAGAAAAAGGTATGTTGGAAGTGTAATAAAATTGAGGGATCTTTTATTCACATGTGGTCCTGTAAAATAATTATGGAATATTGGGAATTTAATGAAATAAAAAAAGATACTTAAAAAAACATTTCCCAAAATACCTGAGTTTTTCCTCTTGGGGATGGTAACAATGGAGCCCCCCCCCCAAAGCAAAATAGTTTATTATTAGATGCCACTGCCAGTTTACTGGCAAAAAGGTGGAGAACAAGCATTATTTATTATTATTATTATTATTATTATTATTATTATTATTATTATTATTATTAATACACTGCCCATCTGGCTGGGTTTCCCCAGCCACTCTGGGCGGCTCCCAACCAAATATTAATAACACAATACAGCATCAAACATTAAAAATGTCCCTGAACAGGGCTGCCTTCAGATGTCTTCTAAGTCAGATAGTTGTTTATTTCCTTGACATCTGATGGGAGGGCATTCCACAGGGCGGGCGCCACCACCGAGAAGGCCCTCTGCCCGGTTCCCTGTAACCTCACTTCTCGCTGGGAGGGAACTGCCGGAAGGCCCTCGGAGCTGGACCTCAGTGTCTGGGCTGAACGATGGGGGTGGAGACGCTCCTTCAGGTAAATAATTCTTTTTAAAAATGGATCCCCACCCCACGGAGGCTTGTTTTCAAGGTGGGCATGCAGCCCTACCCAGTCTCCCATTTAGCAATGAAGGAGCTGGTGCAGCTACCCAAACTTTAACATACAACGCAGTCTACACCCTTCTAAGATTATACAATAAAATTATAATGATAAAGGAATAATAATTAGGGGTGCTTTGCAACCATCAGTTCAGTTCTCCATGTGTTGCCTAGACGTAATATTATCTGTGCGTGTACATATGCAAATGATTGTGCACTGCTCCAATGTCGCCTTAAGTTGTGTTTTCTGTGAAGTCCCATTGTACGTAGCATAACTCACACACCAAGGCCAGCCCAAAACATTTTGACACCTGAGGCTGGCCCCAAAATGGCCTCCCACTCCCCACCAGGGAAGAAGGGGTGAGGGAAGATTTACATCCAGGGCGGAGGGGGGGAATACCTGTCTGTGTCTGTGAATATTCCCAGGAACTTCAAAATCTCCTGTGATAAGAAGGCAAGAACCACTAAAGACAAAGGGGGCGCACCCTTATTTATTTAAGTCAAACATATATTACAAAAGTAAAAAAAAATAATTACATCCAGTGTCTTCAAAGTAAGGTGCAGCAAATCCATTGGGTACGGCAAGAAGAGTCCTGCGGCCCCTGGAGGTCTCCTTCTAGGCTTCCTCTTTGGCTGTCAGCAGGATCAGTCCCTCTGATCTCCTGTAGGAGAGTCGCTACACCCCATCCCCTCAGCCTCTCTACCTCTTTCTCAGTTCCCCACTTTGTCCATTTCCCCCTTCAACTGCTTCTTCCTCCCCCTCTACCTGTTTCTCAACTCACTGCCCCAGGGCATCATGGGAGGTCCAGGGTGGAGCCCCAGAGAACAGCAGCTGGTTGTCCTGGACGTTGAGCTCCATGAACCAGGATGGAGAACTGGAGCCTTGAAGGTATCGGGACAGAAAGAGGGTCTGGAGGAAACTGCCTCAGCAGCTGCCATTGCCACAGGGAGGGTCTGAATGCCCCCTGGAGCTCCTCATTCTCTGCTCTGCCTGAGGATGTTTGAAGAGAGGCCTCAACTCCAGCAGAGGTCACCTCTGGACCACTCTGGATCTAGTCAGACAGGACAGTGAGGTTCTGGGGATGCAGGAGGTGACCCAAGAGGGCTGGTGGTGGACGTCCCTCCCATCTGGGCTCTTGGTCAACACAGACAAAACCCCTCCATATCCAGATGTTGTAACTGGAGATGATGTCCTCCTTGGCTTCTACGAGATCAATGACCAATGTCTGTCCTTCATCTTCTGAGGGAGACTTGCAAGCTTCCAGATTAGAATCGGATCCAATTCTGACAGCCTCTCTAGTCTTCAGCCACTCAGTTCCTTCTCTTTCTGCTTCAACTCCTGAGCATCTAAGTATCCCTGCCAACCATCCCTCCCTGCCAGTTTCTTCACTTCCTCATGCAGAAGGTGGGTTGAAAACACTCAGCCAGAGCAGTTAGACTGCTTTTATACATTCCATGACATGACCTCGGTTTAGCCAAAGGCTGGGCAGCCCAAGAGGCAGGTCGGCAGTAACAATTTAGCCTATTTCACGCATAATACACCTAAAACAGTTCTCAAATGTTGCCTTTCCTTCAATTTGGATGGAAAGTGAGTGACATAAGATTGAGAAGGGCTTGTGGAGGGAACCACAGCAACAAATAACCAAGAGATACCATCAAAATCACTGCAAGTGGTTGTCAATCTCCTCATCCCCTTTTTATATTATAATTTTTAAAATGTATTTCTATTAAAGATTTCTTAGTTTACAAAAATATGTGCAATGTCTCATTTCAAGTTGTGTTTTGTACAGATTAGTTCCATTTGTTGTGAGACATTAGTCTCCTCATTAATTTTAAAAGCTTTTAGTTGCATATATCTGGAAGATTTCTCATTAATACAAGCACATTTCTGCAAAGCAAAATTGGCCATAATCCATCAGAAAAGCATGATTACCCTCAAATTCAAGTTACACCTGGAGTCAGAATGGATGGGTGAGAGCCAGGATTAAGGAACATCATAAACAGCATTAAAGGACAGGAGGGGCTCTGAGCCTCTGCAATTCACAGCCAAACTTGGGCAGGCTCCTTCTGGTCTCATCTCACACACCGGGCTGGTATGAAACTGCAGAAATAAAGAACAGGAGGGTTTCAAAGTTAAGCCAACATCATGGTGTGGGGGCATCAGCATTACAGAGCTAGTGGGAACCCAAAGGACATCTAGTCCAGCCTCCCAAGGGAAGCCACCATCCCTCATCATGTCAAATCAGACATGAAATATGCCAGGAGCACCACCAAAATGGGCCTGCAGAGGGCAGCTCCAGCAAGTGAGCCAAGCTGCACACTATGAGGAGATTTCACCCCTCCCATACCCAAGAATCTCCTGACCATCTCCTGATGGTTTCTGCTGACTCCACAGAGAAGAGGAGGCGTGTCCTGCCTATTAACTTATTCTGCCCAGCAACATATCTGTGTGTGTGTGAGAGAGAGTCAGTCAGTCAGTGTATCGGAGAGTGTGAGAGTGTTAGAGATCCTAGAGATTAGATTGCTGCTAAGAGCAGCTGCAGACTCTCAGTGTAGCATTGCTTTATGCTCAGAATACTTAGCTCTGTATATAGTTTTGTACCATAGTTGTAGTTATAGAATAAACGGAAGATATTTTACAGAGCTGCTCTCCGAGTGGTTTATACTCTGCAAGACTCTGCAAAACTCTGCTGCGCAACGACTGAAGTATTGAGACAGTGAATCCGGTGCTCTCAGCTCCAAGCTGTGAGTCCACAGCACTGTGACCGTTTCCTGCGGGAAGGAGGTCTCTGGCGGTGCTACCCAGCTCGCCCAGCCCAGTCGGGGTTGAGGTGCAAGAGTCCAGTTGGTGCACTGGCTCTCTAGGGCGATGCTGACATCGGTTATGGGCCCAGTCGTTGTTCCAGTCGTCTGACCTGGTGTTGTTCCAGTCATCCCAGGCGTCCCAGGCGTCCCAGTCGCCAGAGGTTTCTGTTGCTGATTGCTGGACGGTGGAACGGACGCTGCATGCTGGACTGATTTGCGGTGCCCAGAAGCAGAGCTGTTTTGGAGCAGAGTGTTCAAGCTGCCGCTGTTGCTGCTGCTTGATTTATGGAGGTATGTTGCTGACTGCCAAAGGAAGAAGATAGCATCCCTGTTTGCCTGTTAATTGCGCTCTGAGTGGGAGAGAGAGTGGCTGAAGGAGTCAAGGCTTTATCTGTGTTGCACGAGGGAAGTGTCTTGCTCTAAGTAATAGCAGACATGGCCTGTGCACATTCTGGCCAGATGGCTCTGTCCTTTCCCCTCCTTATGCCTGAAAACTATGGAGTTTGGCAAGTAAAGATGAAAGCGCTTTTACAGAGGGAAAAGCTATTTCACACGATAGAAGATGACCCTCCAGATAAGGATGATGATGATTGGGCTGAATGGCATGCTGCAGATATGAAAGCCCGAGGGACAATTGTTTTGAGTGTTTCAGACCACTTGCTGGTGAACTTAGAGGGTCAAGAGACTGCACAAGCTGTTTGGCATAAGTTGAGAGATATGCATCTGAGACAAAATGCTGGTTCCAGTGTGATTTTCTTTAAGAAGCTGTGCAGGCTGCAGTTGGAGAAAGGTGGTGATTTGCCTAGCCATCTATCTCAATTAAAGCGTCTCAGACAGGACCTTGTTCAGCGAGACCTGGCTATTTCAGAGGCTGTGTTTGCAATGCTAATGATCAATAGCCTAGATGAGTCTTATGATGGAGTGGCTGCCCAGATTTCCACGATGCCTTCTGACCGGCTAACAGAAGATTATGTGTCTAGCGTGCTTCTGAATGAGTGGGATCGCAGACAGGCTGTTAAAGAAAGCCGGGACAATGGTGCTGTTAAAAATATGCTTGAAAATGTGCCTGAGTCTTCAGCAGGGGAAAGTGAAAGTGAAACTGCTGCTGTTAAAGCTTTGAAATTGAAGCGGTGCTTTTCGTGTGGAGCACAAGGCCATTTGAGTTTCCAATGCAAGAAGTCTTCAAAGAAGAAGGGAAACTTCAGAAGCAGAGGGGGAGGAGGAAGAAATCCCCAAGCACCTGCTGCTTCAAAAGTCTTGATCTCTTGCTGTTCCAGTCAACGTGGGCGGAGTTTCTTCGTGGTCGACTCTGGCTGTTCAAACCACGTGGCCAAAGACAAGAATCTCTTTGTTCAGCTTGAGAAGCAAGAGAAAGTAATTCATCAAGCAGATGGGACAGTTCTCACAAGTGTGGCTCAGGGAACTGTGTTCTTGAAGAGCCTGAATGCAACTATTAAGAATGTCCTGTATGCACCTGATATTCAGGACAATTTGTTGAGTGTTTCCCAGCTTGATCGTCAAGGGTTTAAGGTGGTGTTTGCTAAATCTCGCTGTGAAATTCTTAGAGATGGCAAGCTCATTCTGTATGCAAAATGTGTAAATGGATTGTACCAATTGCCTTTTGTTTCAGGTACAGGCACTGCAGAAGCAACTGAGAAAGAGTGTTGCAATTTGTCTGTGGATAAGAATGAGAAGTTGCATGACCAATGTATTCATTATTATCACCGTATTTATGCTCATCTGAGTTTCCAGGCTGTGGCAAAAATGCCTGATATGGTTCAGGGTATGAGGTTGAAAGAATGTCCCTACCACATGAAATGTGTTTCTTGTGCTGAGAGTAAGGCAAGGCAAGCTCCCAAAGGTACAGAGTCTGGGAGAGAGGCCAAGAAACCATATGAAGTCATTCATGCAGACTTAGTGGGGCCTCTAGCGCTCTCTAGAGGCAATTCAAGGTTTTTCATGGTTCTGATAGACTCCTATTCAAAATATGTTTGGGTCTATGTGCTGCAGAAAAAGTCTGAAGCCTTTACCAAGTTTCGTCAGTTTTGTAAATGGCTCAGAAATGTACATAATGAGAATGTATGTTTTCTTTTCACAGACAGGGGTGGAGAGTTTTGTTCAGAAGAGTTTGAGAGTTTTCTTTCTGAACAGGGCATTGAGCATAGGACCGCCACGCCCAGATCACCCTGGCAGAATGGTTTATGTGAGAGAGTAAACCAAACCCTGCAGCAAGGAATCAGAACGCTGTTACATGATTCGGGGCTGCCCAATCCCTTTTGGGCCGAAGCTCTTTCGTTTTTCTGTCATGTGTATAACAGGAGGTACCAGTCTAGTATAAATTGCACCCCATATGAGATGCTTCACGGAAGAAAGCCATGTGTAAAGCATTTTAAAATTTTTGGTTCGCAGGTTTGGGTGCACACCTCGCATGGTGACAAACTGAGCAAGCGTGGAGAACATGGCATTTTCCTAGGATATGAGAAAGGGTCTTATCGTGTTCTGATCACAGACACGAAAGCCATAAGGCTGACCAGGAGTATTGATGACAATCCACAATGGGACAGAGTTGGTGTTTTTCAGTGCCATCCCATTTGTGATGATGGTGCAAAAGGGGCAAAGAAAGTTAAGAGAGAGGCAAGTGTTGTTGGTGGTGATAATCCTGATGCCAATGTAGTTCCAGATGATGGCACAGATTATCAGAGCACAAAAGCCTCAGGTGAGTCTGACGCTGACTCAGACTTAGCAGCTTCATATACTTTAGCTCCCCATTCTCCTAAAGAGGAGGAAGCACCAGAACAAGAGAATCAGAGAGTTTTGCGCAGATCCGAGAGAACAACCAAGGGTGTACCACCGAAAAGGTTTTCAGAAGAGTTTGCAAAGACTGCGGTCACAAGCAACTCTGGTGGAGTTTTTAAACCTAGCATGAAGTGTGCTGAGAGTAGTAGCACAAAACGCTTTATTTCCTTACCTGATATTTGAAGGAAAGCGTGTATTTGAGTTCTGAAAATGGTTTGTTCAAATCTGCCTAATTAGAAATGTCAATTTGCATTTGAAAGAGAGAAACGTGTATGAAGATTTTTGTAGAAGCTGCTTATTCAATGGTATTGTAAAAGTGTGTTATATGCTGGGAAGAGAGATACCTGCAAATATGTTAACCAAGGTTGTAAGCAGAGAACAACTTTTGGAGTGTGTGTGTAAGTTGCAGTTATGTTAAAGATTCTTGAAATGGTCAGATGAAATGGGGGAAGATGAGGAGATTTCACCCCTCCCATACCCAAGAATCTCCTGACCATCTCCTGATGGTTTCTGCTGACTCCACAGAGAAGAGGAGGCGTGTCCTGCCTATTAACTTATTCTGCCCAGCAACATATCTGTGTGTGTGAGAGAGAGAGTCAGTCAGTCAGTGTATCGGAGAGTGTGAGAGTGTTAGAGATCCTAGAGATTAGATTGCTGCTAAGAGCAGCTGCAGACTCTCAGTGTAGCATTGCTTTATGCTCAGAATACTTAGCTCTGTATATAGTTTTGTACCATAGTTGTAGTTATAGAATAAACGGAAGATATTTTACAGAGCTGCTCTCCGAGTGGTTTATACTCTGCAAGACTCTGCAAAACTCTGCTGCGCAACGACTGAAGTATTGAGACAGTGAATCCGGTGCTCTCAGCTCCAAGCTGTGAGTCCACAGCACTGTGACCGTTTCCTGTGGGAAGGAGGTCTCTGGCGGTGCTACCCAGCTCGCCCAGCCCAGTCGGGGTTGAGGTGCAAGAGTCCAGTTGGTGCACTGGCTCTCTAGGGCGATGCTGACATACCACAAGGACACAAAGCAGTCCTACTGGAAGGAAAAATCCCTTCCGGAACTCCTTCCAAGATCTCTCATTCAGATCCTGCGTAGAACCCATTTGTCAGGTGGAGGGGATCCTCTGTGGGGGTCAGATGGACACATGGAATGAGTCACAAGAGCGATTTTCAGCTCAATGGACACTGCAGATTATTTCACGCTTTGAAACCCCAAGGGGGGGGGTAACAGCTTTTCACCATTTGGGGATGTTCCCCACGGAGTCTTCTGCAAGAGCCCCACTTTGCCCCCACCTGCACCCCCACTTACCCCTGGCGGAGCTGGCGGACCCCTGGTCATTTGCTGGAAAAGGGAGGAAACACAGGAATCAGGATCCTGGGGAGGGAGATCCCATCCCCCCAGCCCTTCTCCCTCCTTCCACCCCCATCCCAAATCAGTCTCAATATGGGGATGTTCAGGGAGAGGCAGCCCAGAGGCAAGGGGGCTCAAGGACAGCACTGGAGGGCAAAGAGATATGGGCACAGCCTGGCATGGAGGCAGCGGGGGACTAGAGCGGGGGTGGGTGCGATCCGGGCAGAAAGGCAGAAGCTGGGGGGAGAGCAATGGTGGGTTCCTAACACCCACAGACTAGAGCTAACCAACCAAATCTTTAGCTTCAGGTTCTAGTAGATTACACCACCAGAGACCCCTCTCTCCCCCCACCCTCGGCTCTTCCTCCTGCTCCTTCCTGGAGCCCCTCCCTCAGCCGACAGTCTCTCTGCAGCCTTTTCCTGGCCCTGAGGGACCCCTTGCTGTCCACAGACAGGCTGAGCAGACAGGCTTGAGCTTCCCATCAGGGTCTTGGGCTTAAGGACCAGGCCACCACCAGGTTTAGTTTTGTCTGTTTGTAACCTGTTCCTGCTCCATATTGGGGGGAAATATGTCAGAAAGAGAGAGGGGAGGAGTCACTCACTTGGGGTTTCTTCATAGGCTGATTTCCCTGTGAAGACAAAAGCAGAAGGTCAGAGCTGGAAGGGACCTCCAGAGGCCACTCAAATCCCATTCCAACCATTTGGCTCTCAGATGCCAAAACCTTCCCAGCAGATGCTTCTCCTGTCTCTTCCAAACACGTCCAAGGAAGGTGAGCCCAGAAGCAGATCTTTTCAAGGAGCTCATTTTACGAAGTAGAAAAAATTGAGAAAATTAAATAAAACAACAACAACATGGGAACCAGGCAGTGGACAAATTCCAAGAGAGTGGAAGGAAACATTATCCAATCCCTTCACTTATTCCTTTTCAGATTATTATTTCACTCCTAAAGGTAAAGATAAAGGTACCCCTGAAAATTAGTTCCAGTCGTGACCGACTCTGGGGTTGCGGCGCTCATCTCGCTCTATGGGCCGAGGGAGCTGGCATACAGCTTCCGGGTCATGTGGCCAGCATGACTAAGCCGCTTCTGGTGAACCGGAGCAGCGCACGGAAACACCGTTTACCTTCCCGCCGGAGCGGTACCTATTTATCAACTTGCACTTTGATGTGCTTTCGAACTGCTAGGTTGGCAGGAGCAGGGACCAAGCAACGGGAGCTCACCCCGTCACGGGGATTTGAACCGCTGACCTTCTGATCAGCAAGTCCTAGGCTCTGTGGTTTAACCCACAGCGCCACCCGCGTCATTCCTAGCAGACCCCTAATCCTCAAATTTGCCCAGAGAGGTGGGGCGGAAGAGATAATGAACTTTAACAGTGCAATTCTAGGCAAGTCTGCTCAGAGGAATGTCCTATTCAGTTCAATACAGAATCCTCCCAGATCAATATTTATTTATTCATTTAATTAAGATGACAGGGCAGTTTGCAACATAAAAATACAAAATGAGAGCACAAAATACATAATAAAGCAAAAACAAACCAGTAACTCTGCTCCCACAAACACATTTAAAAGGCCAAAGGCCTGGTTAGAGAGAAATGTTTTTGCCTGGCACCTAAAGATTTGTAAATAAGGCTCCCTGGTAAGTGTGTACATGATTGAAGGCTTAGGATTGATTAAAACATCAGGTGGGAAGTGAATTTCCTGAGCAGAGTGAGTACAAAGCAATGACCAACAGGACTTTTGGTTCATGTTCAAAGGGTGCTTTATGAGGAGGGGTCTCTGTAGGGATGCCAGTTGCAGTTGCCAGGAAGCCCCACCAGCACATTCCCAGTCGGAGGCCAAGACAGAAGGACACAGGAGAGGCAGCAAACGCATCCAGGGTTTACTTACTGCGAATGAAGAAGATGATGATCCCAAAGATCCCAGAGACCAACAGGATAGCAGCCACAACACCCACAATGAGCCCCAGGTTGACTAAAAGGGGACAAGAGACATTTTTATTCAGACTGGTGGCAGCAGCTCCCCAAGGCCTCAAGCAGGAGATCGGAGTGGAGGTGCTGAGCTATGAGCCCGGGAGAATTTTACGTGTGCAAAGCAGGGACTCTTTCTGCCTCCTGACAGGCCAAGGTCCTCTCTGTAGTGGCCCCAACACAAGGGAGTTTTTTTCCACCAGAGTAAAGCCCCACCAGAGTCTATGTATTTTTCCATCAGAGTCCAGCATTAGAGGTCTTAAAAAAACCCCAATTTATTTAAGGAAGACAGTTGACAGGCACATCTGCCCTGCCTGTGGGAGTCTTTGGCTCAAGGGCCGCTTCCATAATCCTCACTAGCCTGCCTGTGAGGAGAAGAGTCTGGGGTGTTGGTGGGGATGTGTGTGCCTGCATGCTCTTCTGCGGGGGAAGAGAGAGTTTGGCTGTCAGACATTCTGCTTCGCCTACTGCAGGCACAGCTTTCCTGGCAGTGTGTGAGAGACAAGCGTTATTAAAAAACCCTGCTTGCTCTTCCCAGCGGTGTGCGGATATTTGGGCTGAGTGGAGATGAGTATCAGTTTTTCTAGCTGGGCGCAAGTGTGAGGAAGAGCAAGTGAGAATCTTTTTCACTGTGAAGTACAGTCAGTCTGGGGCTCCCTCTTTTAAGTTCATTGACCCTTTTTCAGTCGCAGGGAGTGTGAGTAAATTTGATTTTGAAGAAGGAAAATATGTGCCCACATTCTTTGACATCACAACTACTTAGGCTTAAAGGCAAGAAGGTGATGGCCAGTTTTTACCTATAACATCCAATTTGAGTTCAAGGCCTATGAGACCCTTGCCATAAAAGGCTGCATCTCTGCTGAAATCTACCAGCTGCTTGCCTCCAGAGACACAGACAGGATCCAACTGGGGTTCCCCATCTGAGGAGTTGGGTGGAAACCCCCCTCCCAGAGCCCACCCCTTCCCCTCCTGTCTGTCTGTCTGTCTCTCACCAGGCTCCTTCTCCCAGGCCACGTCCAGAGGCTTCTCCAGGCTGTCATGCTCCACGCGGCACCGGAAGCGCTCCCTCTCCTCGGGGTCGATATGGACACTGAGGAAGAGATAGTAGGTCCCGTCCGAGTTGGGGGCGACCAATCCTCGGAGGGTGCCCTCCTGCCAGACCTCCCCGTCCTTCACCCAGTTGGCCTCAATCTCCTGGGGGTAGAAGCCGTGGACTTGGCAAACGAGGGTCTCCAGGCCGTCATAGTCTGCCTTCCTGGTCACCTTCACCACCGGAGCCTCTGCAAAAAGGGCCGCATTGGGGTTAACAGAGAGACATCCACACGGGAGCCTGGAGGAATCCTGTGTTTTTTAAGAGCAGAGGAGCAGGGACCCAAGGGGAAACCTAGTCAGAATCTCACATCTCCAGAAATTAAAAAGAACTGTGAATACATGGGATTTCCTCAACCTCCCTTGGCATCTTCCCCAGTCAGTGTCTATGCTGGAACTATTTTTAGATGTTTTATCCTTGGTTTGCCAAAGCAGACTCCTTTGGGAGGGAGGGCTGGGTACAAATTAATTTATCATCTTGAAAAGCTCTTGTGGTTCCAAGATTGTCGCAGGGAGCTGCCTCTAGGCTGAGGGGCAAATTCCACCAGGTCCCCAATGGGATCCTTCCAAGTTACAAGTCATGAACTGAGGGCAGCTGAGGCTGATCCTGGTTCCTCTCTTGAGGGGGAAGAAGTGCTGGACTCGCTGTTCTCTGTTCTCCGGGACTTTCCAGCTCCATAGTTAGTGAACAAAGCCAAGAGCCCTGGGAAAGACAGAGCTCCTTTCTAGTTCTCCCGCCTGCCCTGAAAGGGTCCCTTGAGGTTGGAAAGGGCCCATCTCCCTTCTCCACGGCAGCCTCCCCTGGAATGGAAAGGGCAGACCAGGAGGCCCAGTAAGCCAGCAACTTACGCACATTTAACTTGAGCACATTCAGCTTTACGCAGTTGCCAAAAATATTCTAAAAACCAAAAAGAGGAGGCGGGCATCTGGGAAAGAAGGACTTTGGCAAACCCAATCGCCCATGAATCCAATGTGTTTTGGCTATACACAATTTTGGCTTTAGGCACAATTCACAGAATGTAACCCTGGTTCCCTGGGTAGCTGTTGTCTGAAGGGGCTGTTCCAGGATCCCACCCACTTTGCAGTGCCTGGACTGGTTAACTCGGGTCTAGGAGGGGATGTGACTCTGCTGGGGGGAGCAGGAAGGAAGGAAGGTCAAGCCCTTTCCCCACAAAAACCCAAAACAAGACCTCCCCACCCCACCTGACCTCAGCAGAACCTCCGTCCCAAAGAGGATGATTCCCAGCCTCCTTTGCACGTTGTCACCCTTGAAAACGCTTCATTGTGGCTTTTGAGGTGAAATCCTCAACCTCAACAAATATGCTCAGTGTCTCTGGGGTGAATTATCACCAGGCCCCCATAGATGAATTTGCTCAGATCTCTCTAAGCACGGCTAATATGTATGTGTCATTCCTCAAAAAGGAAGGGTGCTAGAATTATTACATTTTGAATTACCGTATTTTTCGCTCTATAGGACGTACTTTTTCCCCTCCAAAAATTAAGGGGAAATGTGTGTGCGTCCTATGTAGCGAATGCAGGCTCCTTGGCTTCAGCGATAACAACGCTAAGCCTCCGAAGCGCAGAGGGAGCGCTCCCTCCGTGCTCCAAAGGCTTCGCGTTGCTTTCACTGAAGCCTGGAGAGCGAGAGGTATGGGGGGCACCAACCCCTCTCGCTCTCCAGGCTTCGGGGATAGCCGCGCGCAGCCTCTCCGGCAGGGAGAAGCTGCACGGGGCTATGGCTTCTTTAGGTCTGTGCAGCCTCTCCCGGCGGGGAGATATTGCGTGGGGCTAAAGAGTAATCCAAAACAGCCAGCAGGATCCATCCCGCTGACTGCCTTGGCTTGTGACATAGCCGCGCACAACCCCTTCGGCAGCCTCTTTGGGGCTGGGGGGGAAATAAGATTTTTTTTCTTGATTTCCCCCCCTAAAAACTAGGTGCGCCCTATGGTCCGGTGCGCCCTATGGTCCGGAAAATATGGTAATATTCATATTAGCAAAGCTAATAGAGACAGGAAGAAAGCCAGTCAAAACACTTGATCATTTGATTGGCACCTGTGCAAGATTCCTGAAGGCAGAAGAGGGGACTGTACCATTTCAAGGCACAGGATTGAATGTTCCCCATGGGAAAAAGTAAAATTGCTCACAAATAAAAAATATAAGAAAGTAGAAGAGGGAATTCCCATACTCTCTCACTATGTGCAGGTTTTCTGCTTCTAGGCCACGAGTGGCTAACCTACAGAGTTAGTGAGGGGGCTGCATCCATATTTTATGGGCTCCCCACACATTTTCTATTTTTAAAAAGGGTTATTTAATTTAGTTTTAAAGACTTTCCACATAGGTATGCAGGGGGAGGTGGGGCACATTGATGCAAGGGGCACATTGATACACCAACAATATTTCAATATTGACAAACGTTATTCGTGTTGTGACATCACTAAAACGTGTCTATACATGTGTGAGTATGACAGTTGCGACCGCGCTGCCCGCCAGTTCTCCACTGGCATTTGACGAGAGGTGTATTTTTAGCGCGGCCAACTAAAAAATTATGTGAAGTACTATTTTATTGTTTTAGCCGCCCTGAGCCCGGCTTCGGCTGGGGAGGGCAGGATATAAATAAAAATTATTATTATTATTAAGTGTAAAAGTGTTCCAATGTTGTTTTTTGTCGTTTACTTAAGATTTTAAAATACCAAAGGTAAATTATCCCACTCAGTAATCAGGATTACACGTGATTTTAAAATAAGTTCAGTGGTTTTATTAATAATTGTTAGTTTTCTGAAAATGTCCGGTGGGGCGCTTTGATACACTAAGACATGGGCCCCCGCTAGTGTACAATAGTGCCCCAATATACAAGTTTGCATGAAATCTGTAAACTGATTTCCTACTCGTGAAATGTGAAAAACAAACAAACTGTTGTTTACTACGTAGCCAAAGTCATTTCTAAATATAAAATGACAGATTATCAAGTGTCTTATCTCAGGAAATATCCAGGATCTTGTATGTTTGTCTTCCCCATTGTAGAAGATAAGGCAAGCATTGAGTTCAAGGAGGCTGTTTTGCAGTTGCCAAAACCAAATTTCTCAAAGGGCGCATCTCAAACATCATCTCTTTATACTTTTTCTTTAGACTTCAGTGGATATAATGTGCAAAAGAAGCTAAATGTTAAGGAAATATATTATTTTTCTAAGCATATTTTTTGACTACCTAATGTGAGTTCCTATACTTTTAAAACTTTTTCCAAAGTTTTTCTTTAAATGGATAGGTGTTTGAGGAAAGATTAATACAAGTTTTGATGTTTTGTTAAGAAAACCTGCCATAAAGTCTCTGACATGTGTGAAACTGTGTTAGTTTTGATACGTAATTTAGGTTTTTAAGTAACAAATTGTAGGGCTGCCCCGTAAGTTGGGGCAGAATGATACAAAACCCATTTTTTTGACTCAAGTCATTATATTCTCATTATCTTCTAACCTTAATGGTTCTTTTGATTGCTATTATAATATTGATTAGTTATGCCATGCATAAAGCAATTTTTTTATTATTTGACTCATTTTGGTACATAAAATATGAGATTGAATTTTTCTGCATCAATCTGCCCCACTTTCCCCTACCCAAGTGTAAAGGCAAAAGGTTTTTCTGTATCCCGCCTCAAATCTGTCCATTTCAATTTTCTTTTTTTACTTAATTTAAAATGCATTCTGCTTTCCTGGCCCCTTCCCTGCTGTTTCTTTCTGCCCCCTCCCCCCATTTGTCTTTTGCCATCCCTTATTCTAGCCAAAGGGGCATGGGGGGCTCTTTTTAAGCATCTCCCCCCCTACATCATACTCTGAAGTGACCCCCTTTCTCCTCCCAGGGTCCCAAACTTATTTCTGTCTCCCCCACCAATAAAAGTGTTTGCTGTTTGGTCAAGAAAGGAAGATTGTTAAGGGGGGGAAGGGAGCTTGAAGGGAAACTGCCCCACTGAGCCCCCCTCCCCTCCCCACTGCCCCCCTCACCTGTCCTCAGCAGAGTCTCCTTCCCATAGTCCAGGTATCTCCGCAGCCACTCAATGCATTCTCCTCCAGGTAGTGCTTTGCACGCTGGTTCAGGGCCATGATAGGATCCCACTTCCTCTTGGTCACTTCGGCCTCCATCTCGGCTGCCGTCCAGGTGAGGGTCTCCTTGTCGAAGGCGATGAAGTCCCTCCCATCGTAGCCGTACTGGTAATGCCCTCCTTTGCGCCCGTCTGAACTCAGCTCACAGCCGTACATCAGCTGATAGGTGTGGATCCCTGGAAGGACCAAAAGAGGCCCAGGAGGTCAAGGGGGGTCAGAGCAGCCCCTCCCCCATCAGCAAAAGAGCCCAGGAAAAAGGATTTATTTGCCTCAGACTCAGGGAAGAGGCAGCAGTCAGAGGGGAGAAAAATCAACCAGCATTGTATCTTTCTGAAGGCTCATCCACATAACACGTTCACTGAGGCAAACACTACAAGTCCCCTTTAATTGCCCTCCTCTCTCTCATCGCCTCCCCCCCCCAATTCCTAGTGGATTCTCCCAACTCCCTGGAGGCGGGGGAGGGGTGGGGAGCCTCCCTTGCAGGTCGGAGGTCACAGTCTGTCCCTCTTTCCCCCCAGCTCTGCTCCTCTGGATCTTGCCCCTTTGGGAGGGACGCCTCAGCTGCCCCTCCCCCCCCAGAAAGAGGAAAGGGGCAACATGGAAGGAGGACACCCACACATTGGGGGCCCTTTCAAGAGAGAAGGTCTCCTCTTCCCCTCCATCATTCTCCCCCCAGCTTCTCCGTATCAAGGACCTTTTCCCTAAAAGGAGGAAAGTCATGGAAGGGCCTTTGGAAAAAGAAGTTTCCTCATAGCCTGGGAGGGAAAGGGAAGCCGCAAGGGGGCTTTGCCCCATTTCAGAATGCCCCCCCTTGTCAGCAGAAGCCAGGCTGCCCTTGTCAAAGATGGGGGGTCCCTGCATCCCCCTGCCCACCCCAGGGGGCTACCACCAAATCTTCAAAACAACAACAACATTAAAACAATCATTTTGAAGTCCCATAATCCCTAAATGGGACAGATCATTTTGATTCTCTCATTACATGTTTCATATATTTGTCTTTGCACATTTACTTGAAGGTAAGTCACACTGAATGGGGTTGGACTTACTTCCAAGGAAACATGCAGAGGACTGAGCAGTTACAATTGGAAATTAAAATAAAATAAAATCTGTTTGTGATCCTTGCTGCCCACACACTGGGACTAGCCCATTTCTGAACTCTCTTGTTGAGGGACTCTTTCCTGGCAGTCAGTTCCATGGGGTAAGGCAGGTTTTGAAGAGCAACCGCCAGATGTGGGGCCCCGATCTCAATCAGCCCCCCAGCAGGTGGAGTGAGCAGTCCAGACAACCTGATGGATTCTGAAAGGCTGCAAGGAGAAAGGGGGGCTGACAGCCAGCATCCCTGTGGGGGCCCCCATCTCCCTATGGAATATGGAATAGGGACACCATCCTTCCTTCCTGTCGTCTCCAGCACTGCAGACCCCGGCCGCCCCCCACCCCCAGTTCACCAGGGCAGTGGGGAGGAGGAGGAGGCAGAGGGAAGAAGTTTCATAGAAGGGAGAGAACTCGTGGCTGTGCTTATTCTGGGGTCATGATTACAGCAGACTGGGGGGGGCATATTGGCACCTCAATAATGCAGCTACAATAAACTTGTTGCGTGGCTATTCCCTCCCCCCCCACAGGTGGAATAAATAAAGACAACGGACACAGCGATTTAGGTTTAATGGGCGAAATTGGCCACAACTTTATTGATTACAGGAAAGAAGGGTATTGGCTTTAGGCATTGGCCCCTAACCGACTATCCGGTCTAACCGGGAAGGGTTAAACACCAACAGGGGGAGCCACCCGAGATGCGTATCCCTAGGCGCTCCCCGAGGGGTTACCGCTCGGGGGCGCGCTTTAGGCCCTAGCCTCCGTAGGTTTCGGACGAGGCGTCGCCCCTCGGAGTCCTTTAACGAACTACCCTTCAAGCATTGGGGGAGGTGATGGCGTTCCTCCCCCCCAACCTCATCTGCATGACAATACCCCGGCCAATGCCTACCGCCACCGAGCCGCAAGCCGGCTCGCCGCCAATACCCTTAGACCTGTAACCAATCCCTCACACCTTGAAAAATATCCGCCAACCAAATATCATTTCCCGCATCAGATAGATGCACGCCATCCCAGCGATAAAGCATTTCCTTGTCAAACCGTATACCTGGGTGCTGAATGACCCGACCTCCCAGTGCAACCACTCTGCGCGCCACCGTGCGCTCCACAATCCTTCTAGCCTTATTCACCGCCACGGGCTTCTCTGCGTCCCGCCAGCATCGCCTTTCCAGCAAAGATGACCAAATGATTGTAATGCTTTCATGGGATGCCCTCAACAGTTCCAAGTCATTAATAATGTTCCACATCAAGTTTACCCCTTTCCTATATGCCAAGTCATTCTCGCCCAGCTGGATGACCAAGGCATCGGGAGGGCCCTTGGCAGCGATTCTTTTGGATACAACTGGGAAAAACTCTTCCCAGCGCATCCCCCGCCTAGTGATCCAAGATAATTTGACCCTGCTGGGTAGCTGTAGCTCTTTAACCCAGCCCCTTCGTTCAGCGCGCCGCTTTGCCCAATAAACGATGCTGTGGCCGAGGATCCACAGTCGAACCACACCAGTACCTGAAAAGAGAGAATTGGAGAACCGGATCAGGAGGAGTGCCCTAGGGGAAAGCTGGGGGAAATTTGAAGGGCTAACGGATATAACCCTGGAATGCATTGGATTTCCAGCGCCCCATGTCCATGATTCTTTCAGCCGGTAAGCCCATATGGGCGGCGGTAGTCGCCGCCCCGATGCGAAAGGAGTGCGCGGCGTACTCCTCCTGGGGAAGCCCGATGGCGGCAATTGCTTTGCGCATAACCCTCGTGAACTGCTGCTTTGAGAGGGAGGAACCGTCAGAATGCAAGAAAAAGGGGCCACTGGATTTTGGTCTCACACACAGATATTTTCTAGCATCCTTTACCGGGCAAGGGCCCGCCTTTTGAGTCGCCTGGAGGCGTACCAAGGCTCCCCTGCCAAGCTGATCAGTCTTTGAACTACGGATTTTTAACATTACATGCGAACTGCCCACCGTCACGTCCTCAAGCAGTAGCCCCTTAGAGGCTGCACGGTTCTCACATACCACTTCACCTATGCGTAGCGCGCCAAAGAATGCGAAAGAAAATGCTGCTGAAAATAGCCTTGCCTCATATCTAGACCAACACAGGCCCCTCAACTTCCTACGAATTTGGGTGAGTATATCTAAAGTTATTGGTCTTCTCCTGTCCCTGCCGTGAGGCCTGGACCTGCGCCAGCCTTCAAGCATCTTACGCACCACGAAATGCGAACAGGGATCCACGGAAAATAGAGTTTTAGAAAAGAAGGATATAGCCGCTGACTGGATATTGAGGGTTTTGGGGGCCCGGCCAAGATCTCTAAGGTGGACCAAATACTCTATGACTTCGGACTTGGACGGTGGCCTGCCTGGCTTGGACCGTCCCTTTCTGATGCGGAAGGATGTGAAGTCTAGCCATGCCTTATTATACGATCTCAGGGTAGAAGGCGCTAGCGCAGACAATACTCCCTTTATTGCTTCTCGCTGCCAATATTCCAGAGGTGCTCCGGGAATGGTTGCGGCTGCTGCTGCGCATCCGGCGCCAATGAGCGAAAGCGTTCCATCTGGAAACGAGATAGAGCATCCGCAATGTTATTATCGATACCAGGGACAAACTTGGCTGAAGCGTGAAGGTTCAAACGCAGGCAGGAAAGGACAAAATACCTTAAAAGGGACGCTACTCTGGGTGAGCGTGACGTTTGTTTATTCAAAACTGACACCACCGCTAGATTGTCCGTCCAGAAACAGACCCTATGGTTTTTGAACTGGTCCTCCCATAAATGAATTGCAACTACGATGGGAAAGAATTCTAAGAATGTCAAGTCACGTAGTATAGGTTTACCTTGCCAGGAGGGGGGCCAGTGCTGGGCACACCACTGGCCCCTGAAGTATACCCCAAAACCAAGGGACCCGGCCGCATCCGAATGTACTTGGAAATCGGACTGCAGCGCCAAGCTATCTTGCCACAGCGATATGCCGTTGAACCCTTCCAGGAATTGTAACCAAATGAGGAGGTCCGCCTTTACCGCCTTAGAAAGGCGTACCCTATGATGGGGTGACCGTAAGCCCATGGACAGCTTTGCTAGGCGGCCGCAGAAAGGACGACCGGGGGAGATCACACGGCAGGCAAAGTTGAGGTGCCCCAGGAGGGATTGAATTTGCCTCAAGGTGACCTTCTTTAGGGGCAGCATTTGGCCGATAAGCTCTCTTAAGGCAGCCAACTTTTCAGCCGGTAAGCGCGAGGTTTGGGCTACGGTGTCAAGTTCAATGCCCAGGTAGGTCATAGTAGTGACCGGACCCTCGGTCTTCTCACTTGCCAGAGGGACGCCCAGTTCCCTAGCTAAGGATTCGAAGGCCAGGAGGAGGGACCTGCACTCTCCTGCGTCGCTTGCCACTAAAATAAAATCATCAAGATAATGACCCACCCCTAGAGAGCCAGTTCTAAACTTTAGGGCCCATTCCAAGAAGGTGCTGAAGGTCTCGAACGCTGCACAGGCAATAGAACAACCCATGGGCATAGCTTTGTCAATGAAGTATGCTCCCTGGAATTTGAAACCCAACCAGCGGTGGTCTTCCGGATGAACTGGGAGTAAGCGAAATGCTGACTCAATGTCGCATTTTGCCAAAAAGGCGCCCCTGCCAAAGCTCCGCACCAACCGCACAGCTTGATCGAATGAAGAGTACTTCACCGTGCACATCTCTTGGGGAATGGCGTCATTAACCGAAGTTCCTTTGGGATAGGACAGGTTGTGTATCATTCTAAATTCACCGGGGGCCTTCTTTGGGACAATACCCAGCGGGGAGATATGAAGCCCCTCAATAGGCGGAGTTGTGAATGGACCAGCTACCCTGCCAGCTGTAATTTCCTTCTGTATCTTTTTAAGCGCGATGTCGGGTCTTTCTAACACTGATTTCTGGTTAGGTGGGCAACTGGAATTGGGTGTAAAAGCAATCGGAATTCTAAAACCTTCAGAGAACCCTTCCTCAAGTAGGTGAGCCGCACGTCTATTTGGATAGAACTTCAAGAGTGCTCTCAAGGGCTCCAATTTTATCGGAGAGCACGCGAGGCCTAGGGAGATGTTAGTATCGAGCCCCGGCTGGCCCTTGGGCGGGG